ATCCAACCCCAAGAGCTGAAGAGCACTCCAAGCAGGCCAGAAGCGCCGGTAGTCCTCTGCAACATTCTGCAATCTGCACTTCAAGGGAACCGCGGCGAGAGCGAGATTGTACTCTCTTCGTGAGGAGAGCAAGGCCTGAGAAAGTCCGCGGAAGGCGAGACCATAATTGTACTAAACGGGCACAGGACGTAGGGACACGGGGGGAGCGTGATTTGGCACCTGACACGATGCGATGACAATGCGAGTTGCGATGTTATGGCAACACCCGACTTTGGCGTCGGCACGCACCCAGGGCCTGGATGAGATCGACGCGGCCACACAGCAACACCGCGAGCGTCATCCTTCGCGATTCGTAATGCGGGGGTCATCGTTCCGAGGCCCTGCGCACGTGTGGGCACGTCGCTGCGGCTGAGCGATCTAATAGTGGCCTGATGCTCGTTAGTTACTCTCAGCCTAGGACGCAAGAACCTGGAAGCGCAAGCACGGTTTAGGGAGAGTCGTGCTTACCCTCTATGTTTTCAATCATTATGTCTACCCGAAATCGTGTTTCCGCGTAGGTCACGTGCACTTTGAGGCCTGCACAGTTCTATGTCGCGAAAACGGAATAGCACGAAATGGCACACGCCTCGTACAGTACTACACATTTCATGCCTGCGATCGTGCTCTCATGTAGGTTGCGTGCACGTTTTGAGTGCCAAAAAAAAACGTGCTCGTCGTGCGTGTTCCGTTCTAGAAGTCGCCTGAACACGGATTCGGGTCCCCAAGTCGTGCACACGTGGTCTGTCTTTGGTCGCTGGCAGAATAGTAACGCAGGCGAACGCATATGTGGTTTGTTGGAGCAATTCTCTGACTCACCAATGTTCATGAAAACGCAGATGCCATGTCCCGTCGTTTAGGTTTTTTGGAGGCTGTTGATATACATCAACGTCATGTGAAGTCGCTGCAGACCAAAGTTTGCAAGGTCGCCACTCTTTGCAAGACTCGAGGAGTTGAGCTTCATCCTCAGGATCCTCAGTAGTTTGGAGTTGGAGAAATTGTGTCTTTAGGGAAGCATGAAGCTGGTGTGTTGGGACCTGGATCCCCAAGGTTTTCAAGCTGCCTGCGTGCTCGCATCGATGCGGAGCAGCATGACATGCAATGATCTGCAAAAATTTTAAATTTGCCGTTTTTTCAGGTGAGGGAGTCCCTTGTTTGCCTGAGATGTGACGAGAGACAGCAAGCCTAGAGTCTCGAGGTTGGGGCGATCCTTAAAATAACCAGTGCCAGATACGGTTGCTGGCTCTGTGGGGAAGGGGGCAGAAAGATGAAGAGAGATGAGGGACAGCGATCAAGACCAAAATACAAACCTTGGCGCATCTTGCTGCCATGTCAGTCAGGTCCTAAATCCTGAGAAGAGGTCAACCTTTGACGGGCGGGAATTCCGCCTCAGATTGCTTCAGAGTCTATGTTCCTGCCTTGCCTCCGGTTTCCTGTTTGGTTTGGCATCCGATGGCTGTGCTGTCGGAGACACTGGGCAACGAGCCGATACTGGGGTATACTGGGGTAATGTAGCTGAATGTTTGACACCTTGGCGATGAGCAGAAGTGAGAGAGGGAAAAGCCAAAGCAGGCACCAAGAGGCAATTGCCAGCCACCATGGGCACTAGGAATAGGGACGAGCTTTGTAGACTCTAGGCTGCAGTTTGCGAATATTTGGGGACGTAGTTTGTTTGCTGGTGGGAACCCGTGCTTTTCCGAACCAAACAAGGCGGAGCCTGTTTGTGAAATCCGCGCAAAGCTGTGCCTTGTACTAGGTGTGAAACGGGTGGACTACCTGCTCAAGGGGGTGGGGCAAGTTTATTTGGTGGATCTGGCACAGGAGTGCTGAGAATGGCAATGGAGCCCGCTTTCTTAAATGAGGGAGGGGAATTGAGTTCCGGGCCTGGGTTTCTTTAATTGAGGGCGGGTGATGATTATGAAGTGGCTTTTCGTTCAAAAACTCATCAAAAAAGGCTGTTGCCTCGCAAACTTTTTTCAGGACGGCAGTGGTCTTCAAGCTGAGAACAAGTGCTCACAGAACTGTTGCACGATGACTGGCTCTTGCCACAGGCATCCCCCGAGAAGTGGCAAGGTAACTCCGGCAGTGCTTTTGCGCCGCTTGCCTTTCGTGCGCGGCGCCAAGCGGAATGGTTTAACGACCTGCGGCACCGCAAGCATGATTCGAATAATGCCCACTGATTCTGAGCGACGTCGGGCGGTGCAGCGGCCAATTTCTGAGGACTGAGCTCAGCGAGAACGATTTGTCTGCGCTTTTGCAGCGCTACTCAGACGAGAATGGGGCCAGGAACTGATTTGCCTTCAACATAACCTATGTTGAAGATGCCGGCAGTTAAGGAGACGGCTTGTGGTTTCTTAGCATTTCTCGTTCTGAGATGGTGCACCTTCACTCCCTTGAGATGGATGTCCAAGACATCATGGAGGCGACCAGCTTGACAAGCAACTGCTAGTATCTGCTAGTTCCCAGTTTCGCAACAATGGCAATTCCCAGTTTCCAGCCTTGTGAAGAGTGTTCAAGTTTCAATGGGTACGCGGCCTCACGAAAGCTAGCTCTGTGGATCTCTTAATTAAGTAAGTCACTAGGGGAAAGCACGTCCGGGACCTCGTCAGGTCTTAAGCCCAGTTTGAGGTTGGGGGGCCCGCCCCCTCCCACCTTGATTTAGTCAATTGCTAAAGTTGAAAGGAGACCTCCCACCCCCATCAAGGTGGGATGGAGAGTGAGGGGGGAGCCCTTTCCTCGCTTGAGGTTCTTTCAGTTTTCTCACGCTGTGAGTGGCGTGAGTCGCTTCGATGGATGAGTTGCGGGCGCATTCTGCGAGTTTGCAAAGCTCGCATGCCTACACGCTAAACCTTCATCGTGTGCGGTTCAGGGTTCCGTGTCCAATGGAGCTCCTACATGCCAACACTTTAGCCCCCGAGCTTTCGTTTCCCCTTCTCACAAGTACAAACTTGTTAAAGAAGCTTTTGAGTCACAGGTGAACCGAGCAGAAGAGAAGGCGGCAGGCCCGGACTTCGGAATTTCCCAAAAGAGCTACGCGGCCTACGCGGGCTACGCGAGCTTACCCGAGCCACGCGAGCTACGCGAGCTACGCGAACAGGCAAGAGATTGTCAGAGCGACCAGGCGTCTATAGCGACGATGATGACATGGACGACGCGTTGTCCCGAAGTCAGGCCAGGATGACCAGGCAGAAAGACGGCTCCAGAGCCTGCACAGATTCCAGGAGATGCCTGCCTTCGCAGAAGCTCCCAAGGCACCAGAACTATGCAGAATGACTGCAAGCGCTGTTCAAAGGTTGCAGCACTCCTGTGCCAGGCTGTGCGGTCATGGAGAAGCCGAAGGTCCACAAAATATGCGCCACGCGAACATGTCGGATCCTCAAGGGATCCCAAGAGTTCCGAACCTGAGGCCAGTCAATGAGCCGAGTAGGGCTGGTTCATGGCGTTCAGCGCAAGGTTTCTACCAGGCCTTGTTCCTTGCAGCCGAGTCTTGGAAAGCAGTTTTTTTTCCGTTCACAGGTGTTCGCAAAGCTCCCGCGCCACATTATCGGCATGCCACATCAACTCATGGCATGTGCCCAGGGCGCGTATGGCGCGCTTTTCCAACAGGCCAGTCACTACAGTAAGAAAAGGAATTGAAAGGCTGACCCTCCTCCCCCTAGCATCCATCCCTCACAGAGCAGAAGCGTTCAAAGCTCTAGCTTTCGAAGCCACCTTCTTAAGTCGTGTCGGTGTACGGGGTATCTGGTTCTTTCTCCTCTTCTTTCCTTCTTTTTAGCTTTCTTTATTTCTTTGATTCTTTCTTTCGAACGCACCGAAGTCACATTCGCTTCACAACCTATACAGCAGGAAGACTGGCTTTTTTGCAAGGTTGGCCACGACGACCATGGTCTATACCCAAAAACTTGTCGGCAACAACAAAAGATTAGCGTTGTAATGTCCGGAGGCAGGGGAATCACCATGATGATGTACGCAAGCTGTGACACGAAACAGACATCAGCGGCAATCCGGGCCTAACCGGCGCCCACACATTCGTGCACACCATGATGCAGTCAGAGCTTTTACCATTGACCCTTCCAGGGCTTTGATGCGTTTCAGCTGTAAGCAAAGAAGTTTCGACGGTTCATGCACAGTATATATGTCTTATCTGAGTTTAGCGGTTGTAGATGGACTTTTATGCAAATCACGGCACGTAAGGGACATCCATAAAATGAACTTGCGCGGTGCAAGATAGCGCGCGAACAGAGGGCACGCGAGGCGCGGACGAAGACGCGGACTGAAGGAACGCGATGCGCGACGGAGGGCGAAATGCACAGGGAAGGCGTGCGAAGCGCGGACAGAGGTCGCGCGACGCGCAGAGTTTGGGTTTGTTTCACTCACTTGGACGTTTTCGTGCATGATGTATTTGTCTATTTTCCGGTGTGCTTACAGTACCAGGCAGTAATGAAGCAAGGATGCTTTCTCTTGTGCTGCTCCAACTTCGCCATTTGGGTTGGAAACACGTTGCCACCGAAGCCAAGGACTTCAGAACAGCAGCGCTCGATCAGGCATCGCTGGATATGTGTGGCGTGGCGTGGGAAAACAACCAAAACCAATGCCCAACATCGTCCATCACTGGTAAGACGACGGCGCAAGGGCACCTGCAAGGTTACCACACTTAGTACCACATGACATCACATGACCATACGGCGCCAGGCCACAAACTGCTCCATCAGGACGCTGCAAGCGAGCCCTGGCCTTGGTCGGGATGGCCAGCGTGCTGATGCCATCTGATGCCTAACTGAGACTAAACCAGGGCATTTCAGGGGTTTCTTCAACGAGAGGTGAATGCAAAGCATTGCTTGAAGGTGGGACATTGGGAGCAAGAGTTGTTGGGCTCACGGGACCACGTTGTAGCTACTTTGGCACGAGGTACTTTACGCTACTAGCAGCCCCTATCTGGGAACGAGTACATGTGATTGCCCGCCATGGTTCTGGTTTTGGTTTCATTGCTTGCAACATTGGCTGCCTCCTCGGTTGCTGAGTGCAGCAGTGCAACCTGCCCACGACTTCGAAGTGGCCGTGGAATCTCTCTTTTGCAGGCGTCGCGCAACAAGTCAGCCCTGGCACCATCAGCGTCCGACTCTTCCAATGCCTCCAGCCTCGACGATGCTGTGGCTGTTGCAGAGGGCCTCGGCAACGCTGCAGAGCAAGTCGTGTCAGGAAGCAGCGGAAGCGGATCCACCTCCAACGAGGACACTACCGTGGTCGTCCAGAATCTCAGCCAGCCTCAGGCCACCGCAAACTACTCACAGGTCATTGACACGGCAAAGGAGGTGGTCCACCGAGCACCTTACACCCAACAGCACAATGAGACTAGCCCGATCATCAAGCCCATCAAAGGCGCAGCAGCTCTTCCGGAGCCTAAGGCGGACAACATCACTGGAGCAATGCGTGACTGTGTGTTGGGAGATTGGGGTGAGTGGTCCGAATGTGTCTCGGATGGGGCTTCAGGCAGTGCAGGCCCACATCAAATTAGGCGACGTTCTGTAATCCAGCCATGGCTTCCTGGAGGACTGAGGTGTGATGCAACAGAGCAGAGCCAGGGATGTAACCTGATTAGTGCAGCGAGCACCATCGTGAGTCTGAACATTGGCTGACTTGAGAGCTCTCACATCCAACCGGCGTCGGCGAAAATCATGCAATGCAGGGCAGCGCAGGGCCGCAGGTCACATACAATTACTTGACGTGCTCATAGAGTCATAGATCAGCTTGCTTGTGCTGCAGTGCCTTCATCGTCAGTTTGTCAGCGCCAGCATAGTGAGCTTCTGGCAGATCATGCCTAGTCGCTGAGTCAAGTCGTACCCATTCAGAGAAGCAGAGTTTCTGCCTTCCTCAGTCCAGGCCAGTCTCTCCTGTCAGCAGGAACTGCGCTCAGCATCGCTTCGCACATTGAGTCGAGTTGTTCATGAATGCCCCTGTTGCGCTTTGTCACACATCTTCCCCATTCAGGTCTTGGCAAAAATTGGAGCTCTGTCGAAGAAACGCTGCTTGAGGCCATTGCCCGAAGGAAAGAGAGCGTGTCTCCAGCTTTCGGCCACCTTCCGCAGAATTGGGTACATGAATACATGAATTGCTTACTTTTGCAAAATTCCTGCCGCAGGCTGCAGGAGCTATTCCGAGATTTCGACCGATTGCGACGCGGTGCCCACGGCTTAGGAGCAAGAGCTGGGTTTCCGAGGTGCTTTCACAGCTACGGCCACTGCCCGCATGGTGATGCCCATCCCAGCCCCATGCAAGATTGTGCCACGGTGCCAGATGCGATCGGCGCTCGTGCCCCAGAGCCTCTGGATACTGGAGGTGGCATTGCAGTAGATGGCTGATGTTCTGGGTCTTTCTTCTGAAGGGTCGATTATTGTTTACGTCCTGCATGTAGTCAGCAAGGGAACCTGCAGACTGCCTTCACTGAGGCTAGCAATTGCCGGACTGGATTTACCAGCTGCAGAGTGCGCGTCTTGTTGGGCTCGTTAGACGTCGCAATTCATGAAGCAATGCGAAGTGCAATGCGAAGCTCAATGCGAAGTGCAATGCGAAGCTCAATGCGAAGTGCAATGCGAAGCATTTGCGGGGAAGCTTCGCTTGGAAAGGCCTTTCGTGCGAGAGTCGAATGTCTCGAGCCCTGCCTTCGGAGGCTTGAAATGCTCGAAGAAAAGTACAGTGCTTTGGGCCCAGGCCGCGGGTGTGTATGCTCTTTGCATCCCTTTGCCGCATTGGTCACTTGGCCGGCAGGCCCTAAACCTTCCACCAAGCATGCTGAAATCAGGCGATGGCAGGAGCGATGCCAAGACTTACTTTCGCTACAGAGACTTCTGCGCAGACGTTTCCTCAGAGGAGGCTCTGTGCCAATAAACTGCAGGAGTTTATCACGTGTGCTTGCGCACTTGCTGTCGTACTACCCCTGCGCATGCCAGCAGGCCTCGAATCACAAGAAGGACAGCAGCAGCAGGCTGTTCCTGCCTGCATGGCCTCGAGGAAAGATGTTGAACTACATTAAGCTGTAGTTCTTCGCCAACAGCTTTTCCCAAAACCCCTGGATTCCGCGAGGACGGCCAGGATTCGGCATGCGTTGGGTACGGGTGGGCGAAAGGGGTGGGGAGACAGGAGAAGATGGGTGGAGGGGAGGGGCGCTTGAAACACCACGAGCTTACGAATTTAACATGCATTGCGTCTGGCTAATGAGGTCCGATTTGCAGATTCCTATCTTTGTTCTTTGCTCATTTAGAGTTTTGAGCTTCAGGATACTATGTGCTTACGAGTTGTTACAGGAATCTTCTTGGGTGTGAATCATTCATCAGATATTGCTTGAGGATATGTTATCTTTCTTTGTCGCTGAATTGCGGAGAACTATCATGGGTGATGTTGACGTTATCATTCTTATGCCGAATAATTTGTTTTGTTCATCATTTCAGGCTGGTTTACACGCTAGCATTTGAGGGCCGATGTGCCTCACGCAAGCTTCCTATGATGGCCATGCTTGTCTCATGAGTTTCATCATACTTATTGCATACACGTTTTACAGTTTACCTGCCTGGTGTTTTTATTGGGGTATGTTTGTCGGGCCGTTGTTATTGTTGTTGTTGACCATGCAGTTAGATCGTACCAATGCTTGTGTCTTAGCTGAAAAGCCAGGCCAGTGTCCAAAATGGATTTGTGCAGGGGGGATGACAACCTGTGCATGCACATGCAAGCCCGCTTCACGCGCTTTAGCATGTTCAGACCCAGACCCAATGAAAGTCAATTGTCGACGGGTCAAAACGGATTACAGGATGCATCCCCAGGTGAGAAATGCATGGCATGTAGGACACGAAGAGGGACGGCCGCGCGGCTGAGCCTGAAGCATGGGAGTGGAAGGCGGAGGGCGTTCGGCCTCACATGCGGTGGCCTATGGTGGCCTGGCAAGGGGGTCTGTGAGGGTGCGCCAGACACGAGGTTCGCAGGTGCTGCACCAAAGCCTGGGAGTGTTGAAGAGCAATCAGAGAACGAAGAAAGTGCTGCCGGAATGAGTTTTTGTGTTTTTTTTTGTTCCCGGGCTGTGCTTGTTGTTGAATGCTGGAAATTCTTGGAACGTTTTCCTACCTTCGGAGGGCATCGGGCAGCGCACCTTTGACGCAGCTCATCACAACCATCAAAGCCAAAGCCCGGCCCGGCCCTCAGCACGGATTGGCAAAGGCCCAGTCCTCGGTGCGGCGGCCGTGGTGTAGCCGGGCAAAGGCACTTACCCTGTGGTTGGGGTCATGAAGAGATGCAGAACCCATAGTTTCAACGGGTGAATGAACACTTTCAATCGATGTGTATGTGACATGCTGAAAGGCGGAAAAGTTTCTGGGTTCTTTTCACGTCAGCCGGTAGATCCCCAGGCTCGTTTCTGCAAGTTTAATGTGGGAACTATGCCTGTTTGATGAAAGTATCGCATCCATGACATAGTGCTTACAGATCTAACTGTTTGGCTCGAGTAAAATGTGTCCGGCATAGTTTCAGTCATGGTGGCGGAGCTTTAGGCTCCGTCCAGGGGAACCTCGAGCCCAGTTCCCTGGGTTGTAGAAGGTAGTTTCCTTGCAGGCGCCATGGCCAACCCTACCGCTCGAAGAATTTTAACAAGTGACGACCCAGTTGCGAAAGGTTGATGCAAAGAGTAATTGAGCTCACGCAGGAGCTGACTAAAGAGAGAATCGGTCTTGGAGAGCCGAATAGAACAGATCACCCACCTGACAGCATTGGTGGAAACGAGTTGGTGACAAGTAGAGGTAAGGAAATGACTCTCATCGACGATCGAGGCGTGGCAAAAGCCCGAGAGGTTCAAGGGAGATGAAGGTCACCAACCTTCAGTGGAAGACGGAGAGCTTCATCCTCTCAGTGTTCTCTGTATTCGATAGCCCCTAAGCCTATCCCACGGGTTTTTCGCCCCACGGCTTGCGAGAGTATTCAGGAGTAAATCAGGCCATACGACATTCAACTGGCTTCTCTCCCTTTCCCATGCCAAGGTCTAGGCGACTGGAGCTCCTCAGCGCATTCGCCGATAGGCCAGTCAGTCCACCTATCTTTCCAAGCTGAGCGGTGTGAGAGTGTGTAAGAGCGTGTGACACTGTGTGAGAGTGTGTGAGAGAGTGTGAGAGAGTGTGAGAGAGAGAGAGAGAGTGTGTGTGTGTGTGTGTGTGTGTGTGTGCATGTGTGTGTGACCATGCTGTCCAGGAGCAGAGGTGGTGTTGCTGGCCGCGTCCGTGGGAGCCTTCTCTTCCTGACCTGCCTATACCGCAGTTGCAGATGCGGCTCAGCCCCTGCCCATAATCCCTCTGCTTCCCATGTCATCGGAGGCCGCGGTGCGCTGCTTCGTGTGATGCACATGCTGGGCTTTCCGCTTTCAGACGCTTGGCGTGTCATGCTAGTTGCATGCTACTTGCCATGTTTCCTGTCTGCCTGGGCTCCTCCTCTCTTGCTGCGCTCTCCAATACTTAGCCGTATCAATCAGTAAAATCAGTTCTTATTCTTGCTACCGGGCCCTGGTCAGGATCTGGAAGTTGACTTGCTTTGCGGCGCATTTAGAGTTCGCCTCAGTTTCGGGAAGCATTTGATGTTGTTGTGTATCCTAGAGAGCATCACCCAGGCATCCACATATTCTCAAGAGATATTCGGCAGCCTTCAGTGCAGGTGACGACATGGGATTCAACTACTTACGCTTCTGCTCAGCCTGGAGCCTCGAAAGCCTCGGGAATCCTCGGCATGTGACAAGTTGACTTGGACTGCCCACCTCCCACTGAGGTTGTAGACCCGTTCATGGTCAGAACCTTGGCCATGGAAAGCAGCGTGCGAGCCGCGAAATCTCATCTGGACAACAGGCCCAGGTAGACGAGAGCAAGAAGGCCACACAGCCAGCCACGTCCAGCACTCGCAAGCGATGTTTCGAGTTTCTTCCAGAGTGACATACCCCCTTGAAACCCCACCCCCCTTAGCACGACCTAAGGAGCTTGTACTTTGACTTCGCCGGTCGAGTTGCCACTGCCTTAGCTGGAGCTCATATATATATATACACACAACTATATAATTATATAATTATACAGTTGTATAATTATATAAGTATATGAGCAAGCGCCAAGACCCCCCGCCATTCAAGTAAGCAAGGGGTGGACACGAATGCCCAAAACACTGTAAAGCGACGGGAACACCTGAAGCGCGACACCCCTAAGTTAGTGAATCGTTTTGGTGGGTCATAGCCTTGAATTTTCCCAAAGCGACACCCGCAGACATCAAGCGTGGATAGCTGATGCTACTAAACCCTGCAAAGCGATGGGAACACTTGAACAGCGACACCCCTCAAGGAGCGCCCACTAGCACAAGCGGGTCTTGGCAGCTCATATATGAGTCAGAATGCCAGGCATGCCACACATGTTAACGCCTTTAGGACAGGAGCCACACTGAAGTGACGAGGTGCCACATCCAAGCCTCAGTCGACCGGCATCAGCACCTCAGCTACGGAAGTAGTCGATCTGACATGTGGGTAGTGTAAGGCCAGTGTAAGGCAGTGTCTTGAAAATTCATGATTGCGACCTTTCTGGGCCTTTTGAAGTTTTGCTTACAGGGAGGAGAGGAAACCCCGGAAAAGCCG